ATCACCGCGTCTGCACTATAAGCGAGCTGCACGCTGCGCTGTTGACACAGGAATTGTTACTTGCACAATCGAGGCAGTGTCGCATGGTCACTAAAGTTTATAATTTGGCATTTCTTTTAAATTCTTGCCAGTGTTAAAACCAATCAGTGCTCGCATGCTCTCCTGGAAACCGTGCGCTTATCCACTCGCAGCACACACACATAACGCCAGGTTCACATTACTCCGTTTGCAGTGCGTATGCGGTGCGTATTTTTTCTGCGCTCATGTTAATGGATTAAAGCGTTCCCACTGCACACGTTCCAGGAGCGGTGCGTCTCCAGCAGTGCAGAGATCGTTTCCGCTGTAAGTCTATTTTTGCTGCGCTGCAAGCGCTGAATTAAAGTAACAGCACATTGTTTGCGGTAAATATGAACATGGATTGACACAAAAATGCAGTGGTTATACCATAAATGCATATAATTAAAGTCTACTGTGTTTCAAAGTCAACACATAGGCTATGGCTTTTTGGCTAGGTTTAAAGGAAAAGAGCACTTATAGATAAACAAGACAATAATAGATGGCACTCGTGGAGGTAGCAAAATAAAGTTCTTTATGAACCGCAGTATTGCTTGTAATAAAGAATTAAATGCGAAAGAAAAGGCAGTAGAGCTGACTGTTTATGTTTGCTTCTGTACTGCTCACGTACCACACATGGACTGCATACGCACTGCAAGCGGAGTATGTGTGAACCCGGTGTAAAAGGCCGCCTCACAGCTCACGAAATCAGGCATGCTGTGTGTAAGCTATTGTGCAAGAATTGAACGATTGTCAAAATAAAAAATGTAGTGCATGATCAAATATTTAGGTGAGATAAATATATATTTTGAAAAACCCCTCAAATTAAAAAATCTCCTCTCATAAGAGTCACCTAAAAGAGGTGATGGTATCGGCAGATACTGCTTTCTGTGATCGGCGATCGGCCTCAAAAATCCTGATCGGAGCACCCCTACTTTTAATACAGTTAAACCAGCACATGTCTAGTCAAGAGAAACAATTTCACAAATTTGTAATAATTTATTGATGACAAATGATACATATGAAAAAGTATGTCAGAAATACTTTCACATTTTCACATCACATAAATGTATTCACAATTTGCTCCAAAGAATATTTGAAATACTGATTTTTTCTATTGACAAGAATGTCAGTAGATTTTGGAAATTGCACAACCTCTGTTCTGTTTTTTTAACCAAGCAGGTTCGGTAATCTGAAAAACGAATAAAAGGCAGTTGTTATGTATCCTCCAAATCTTTATAAAAGCCAAACATTAAGCTTGT